CTTCCTTCCTTCCTTCCTTCCTTCCTTCCTTCCTTCCTTCCTTCCTTCCTCCCTTCCTTCCTTCCTTCCTTTTTTCTGCTTCTTTCTTTCTTTCTTTCTTTCTTTCTTTCTTTCTTTCTTTCTTTCTTTCTTTCTTTCTTTCCTTCCTTCTTCCTCCCTCCCTCTTTCTTTCTTTCTTTCTTTCTTTCTTTCTTTCTTTCTTTCTTTCTTTCTTTCTTTTTTAAGACAGGGTTTCTCTACAAAGCTCTTGCTTTCCTGGAACTTGAACTCACAGAAATCTGCCTGCCTCTGCCTCTGGAGTGCTTGGATTAAAGGTGTGTGCTACTAAGCCCAGGATAGACCTCGTGGTAACCATTCTCAAACTGATAAAGACCATGAGGGTCACTCAGGGATTCAATTAAGTTTTAAGCTAGAGAAGATGGTGAATGTCATCCCAGTTTTGACCCGGTCTTAGGAGAAAATGACTAGAAAGTATTGAGAGCAAACCCTTTAACAAAGCTAGCTGAGGAATTTTCAGGCATAGTCAAGAGTTGCACACAGGGGCAGACAAGTGAGGCTGTCAGAAACACTTGTGAGGACAAGCATCCTGTACCAATTCTGGATCCTTCTAACACTCTCTGCCATATAATACTTTGCTATCTAAATGACCATATTGTTTTCCTTTAAGAAAAAGGAAGACTAGCCGTAGTCAAACATGGATGGATTCTTTTTTTCTTTCCTTTCCTTTCCTTTCCTTTCCTTTCCTTTCCTTTCCTTTCCTTTTCTTTTTTTTTTTTTTCGATACAGGGTTTCTCTGTGTATCTCTGGCTGTCCTGGAACTCACTTTGTAGACCAGGCTGGCCCCGAACTCAGAAATCCGCCTGCCTCTGCTTCTCAAGTGCTGGGATTAAAGGCGTGAGCCACCACTGTCCAGCACATGGATGGATTCTTTAACTTACAGAATAAGAGAGAGAAAAGCCCCAGTCAACATAACCCAAGTATGTATAACTATAGAGGGTTGAATGTCCACGCCTACACAATCATGTCATAGCAGTAGCAAGAATTGACAGCACAGAGACTCTGAACCTGAACCTGTAAAGACCTCAGTGTAGGTAGCTCTCATATCCCGTTAGCTCATACACTGTAGACCAGAGGAGTTATCACCACACGTGGTACACACCATACGTGCTGCTGCTGGCCTTATACTTTTCTGGACGACTAGAGTGACTGTGCTCTTGTGAGACTAACCCAGAAGAAAATATGAATTGTGTCAAAACCCACCCATCATAGCCAAAGAAGCCACCACACGGGAGTGTGACTGTGGAGTTCCATAGGCTTCACGTGAAAGGTGTGTAAGAAACCAAGATTCCACACTAGGTCAGGAGCAGACTGCTCACCGTGGTGATGTGCACAAGACTAAGATAGTCAAAATTTCAGCATGGATGGTGGAGGCCCTGAGCCCCACAGTAAATGGCTGCAGATTTTTGAGGATGTGGCCACAGGTAGGATGTTCCTGCCTAGCAGGTGACTACAGACTCATGTGTATCTGAGCAACACCAAGTGGAGTTGGAGTTACTTGTGGGGGTATGGGTGAGGTGGGAAGGAGGTTTGATGAAAGAATATGGAAAATATGTATGGAACTTTGAAAGCATAAAAACTATTATTAAGTGGTGGAACACACCTTTAATCCCAGCACTTGGGAGGCAGAGGCCAGCAGATTTCTGAGTTTGAGGCCAGCCTGGTCTACAGAGTGAGTTCCAGGACAGCCAGGGATATACAGAGAAACCCTGTCTCAAAAACAAAACAAACAAACAAACAAACAAACAAAAAAACCCCTATTATTAAAAAAAGAGTAGGTTTCTCACTAAGAAGGTCCATGTATATCAGTGTGACAAATATCCACTACAACAGGTGCACAAATGTCAACAGGGGAACACAAGATACATGAGAACCCAGGGTCACATGACTCTTCCCAATCTCCTGACTCTCCAGTGACCAACTCTAAAGATATCTAGATGATGAAATGACAAAGAATGATTTCTAAAATGAGCTTAAATTCAAAGGGGCGGAAATAAGTAGCTCTCAGAAAACAATGTCGGACATAAGAGTATTTCAGTGAGGAGATGGAGGTTCTAAGAAAAACACAGATTAGACGCTTGGAAAAGAAACTCCCAGTAAATCATACAAGAACGTGGTAGAAAACCTCACAAAATATACTAGATCAAGCAAAAGAGAGACTCTCAGGAGCTTGAAGCCAAGGCTGATAGGTAACCACACTAAGAAATCTAATGATGAAAAAAAAAAAAGGCAGAATAAACGGAACATACAAAATCAACAGTTGAGCTGGGTGTGGTGGCACTTGCTATTGATCCTAGCACTTTGGAACCAGAGGTAGGCTGATTTCTGTAGGTTAGTGGCCAGCTTGGTCTATATAGCAAGCTGTGGGCCAACCAGGGCTACATAATAAGACCTTGTGTCAAACAAAACAAAACAAAACAAAACAAAACAAAACAAAACAAAAATGTCTTTGTTACTGTGATTAAAGCAACTCTTAAGAAAGCATTTAACTGGGGGCTTGCTTCCCATTTCAGAGGTTATGTCCATTGTTGTCATGGCAGGAACATAATGTCAAACATAGCAGGCATGATGCTGGAGAAGTAGTCGAGAACCACAACCTGATCTGCCTG